TATTTTATTGACCATGGTCGGCAGTACATGGATAATTCAATCCAAAATAACAAAAGAAAAATAACGCATCAAACTTCAAACCCCCTGTTTATATAGGGTGGTCAATTCACACCCAACTGCTTCAGCCCATCCCATTCTGATGCAGGTTGATCTACTCCACAATATCTATACCTAGAAATCTCTTAATATTTGGAACTTCGTTATCAGTTCACTCTGCTCCCACTGCCTAGAAAACAGGTCAGGGTTATTCACACATTTATTCATAATAATCAAAAACAACCAAAAGAAACATTCCTATAAAGAAAGAAAACCCTCTACTTGGTTTGGCCCGGTGACGTCATCCATGACCACCCTATTCCTATAAAACAGGAAATGCTTAGGCCGGCCCCTCCCCAAACAATTATCCTGCATGGTGGAACTGAACAAAGGAACAAACAATTGTGAGTATTAACACAAGAAAACAATTAAACCAAGTTTAAACTTGCAACCTAATAAAATTGTGCTGAAACTAACTCATGAATATGTGTTTACTCTAACTTACCATATGCTTTGCACTCGCCTGTAACATAATACAAACACAAACAACCCAGAATAGTAAGTGGTGCAGTTTTACACAAGCTATGGCAAATTACCAAAAAACATAAACGTATAAACTAGAAGGTCATGGCCTGTATGGGACAAGTGGTGAGCAAACCCACCTCGTCACAGCCTTCATCAAGAACTCAATGGGGCTGTGGAAAACAAGTCTGGAAGCCAACTCAAAGCCAATTGCACAAGTCACCATCAAGTGCGGCATATACCAAGGCGATGCACTATCCCCGCTGCTGTTCTGCATAGGCCTGAACCCCCTCAGCCAGATCATCACAAAGACTGGCTACAGATACCGGTTCCGAAGTGGAACAACCATCAATCACCTCCTCTACATGGATGACATCAAGCTGTATGCAAGAAATGAGCGAGACATGGACTCACTGATCCACACTACCAGGATCTACAGCAATGACATTGGAATGTTATTCGGACTGGACAAATGTGGTCGCATGGTATCAAAAAGAGGGAAAATGATCAGACCTGAGGGGATTGAACTACCACAAGGACACATCGCAGATGTTCAGGACAGCTACAAGAACCTCGGGCTGCGGAAACGGAAACCATGAAGAGGCCAAATACCTACAGAGAGTAAGGCAGGTCCTGAAAAATACAGGTGCAGACAGTGCAATGATGCCCCTGAGACAGTACAGCACATAACAGCAGGGTGTAAGATGCAGGCAGGAAGTGAGTACATGGAACGCCATTACCAGGTAGCTGCCATAGTGACCAGGAACATCTGCCATGAGTATGGGCTGGAAGTCCCAGGGTCAAAATGGAAAACACCTCCTAAGGTAGTTGAGAATGACCGAGCTAAGATCCTGTGGGACTTCAAGATCCAGACTGACAAACTGGTGATGGCTAACCAACCAGACATCGTGTTGATCGACAGACAGCAGAAGAAGGCTGCAGTGACAGATGTGACGATCCCAAGAGACAGAAACATCAAGAAGAAGGAACACGAGAAGCTTGAGAAATACCAAGGGCTGAAAGAGGAGCTAGAAAAGATGTAGAAAGTAACAGCAACAGTGGTGATCGGAGAACTGGGGGCTGTGACCCCCAAACTGGGAGAGTTGCTACAGCAGATTCCAGGTAAAACATCAGAGGTCTCTGTCCAGAAGAGTGCAGTCCTAGGAACAGCTAAGATACTGCGCAGAACCCTCAAACTCCCAGGCCTCTGGTAGAGGACCTGAGCTTGAGGATGACACATACCACCCTGCAAGGGGTGATAGGGGGATTTATTTTTTAATTTTTTATATTAATTTATAAATTAAAAAAATCACCCCAGTTAAAGGGCACTTTCTCTCAGGGGAGGAACAGGGACAGGTGTGTCCATGCGTATGTGTGCAAATGTCTGATACACACTTTGTAAAAGAAAAACAAACTGCTGATGATTTTATCAGAGGTGGGATCAAATCAAGGTAAACTGAAGACGTTTCATCTCTCATCTAAGACACTTCTTCAGCTCTGACTGACTGGAAGAGAGTCCCAGCTATTTAACTTCTGTGGGGTTCAGGGTTCAAGTGACGTGGGAGCCAGTGGGAGCTCAGCTCCCATAAGGAGGCTCTGAGCTCCCATGGAAGCAGTAAAATCATGCATCTGTGGGGGTCTCAAATTAATTTATCAACAACCATTATTTTGAATCACAGTGTATCAATAATGTATTTTTCATTATAATGTAAGCTTATTTGTTTAGTATTATTGGCTTTTTGATGCATCCTCCAATTAGTACAGCGCTACAAATGATAATATGTTTGCTACTGTGTGCCGGCGACAAGCAGTACACTTTAATAATACCATAATGGGTGGAACTGCGGTGTCTCCTTGAGCAATAGTCTTTGATGGCATTTTTCAGGCGATTGAATATCACAGACATCTGGGGCAAGTAGTGGACTGCTATGTGTGTGTTTGTGCGTTGGCGTGTGTGAGAGAGGGAAATGTATAAATTGGTATAAATCTCTCTCTCCAGTGAAAAAATTTAACATTTAAATATGAACTGAAGAGGAGGAAAAGTAGAAATCCTCTTCCCTGAACTGAAGCACAGAACTGGAGGAATTCCCCTGATTGATATTTGGAGTAAAAGCTGAAGCAGCAGCGGCCTCCAGTGGCGTCTGGATACGTGACACGCTGTCACTGCTGCTCAGAGGGATTCTGGGAATCTGCTGTCAGTTTCTAGTTACATACAGGCTGCCTGCAGACACTACTCAGGGATTAAAAAAAAATACTGTTACTGTGTCTACATGTTTGTACTTGAAATTATCTACTATATATACTGCAAGTCTATATTACTGGATGAATCTCAGGTCTGCAGGTACACACACACACACACACACACACAAGGAGTGATGCAGTGCGTGTTGGTGACCACATGGTGTCAGTGCTGACAAAGAATTCTCCACACATCTCTCTACAAACAACACATTTTAACTACAGCTGAATTTAATTTGTCTTAATACATTTTAAAAAGAGTCATGAACAGGGACGTCACTAGGATTGAAAGACAGGGGGGGCTCAGCCCTCAGGGTATGTGTCACTTGTGCAAAATCTTTGCACTCGCATCTTTTGTTACTCTATTAGAACTCCACTTAAGTCAACAACCAGTGAAGAAGCTCAGATGTTAATACAAAGCAACAGACATACTTTGTTCTACCAGTTCTCCTCTGTTGAACAGAAGTTACTATAATTTTACATGGAAGCAAAAAAAGATATAATAATAATAATAATAATATTGCTTCCTCATTGCTTATTGCTTGCTATTTACTGTTTTACAGCAAAACATTGAACTTAGCAGCTTTATGCTAAGTTCAATGTTTTGCTGTTAACTGCATTTCGTTGCATTTTGTATACAATGACAATCGAGTCTCTATCATTAATCCTGAAATCTGTTAGTTGGGGGGCGTTCTGGGGGTCCTCTCCCGAAAATCTTGAGGTTTTAAACAATATTTCTGCATTGATTTTTGGTGGAAATGTTTTTATTTATGCAAAGGGAAACACAAACTCAGGTGGCACGTGACAATTCAAAATCTGAAACTCAACAGAACTGAAGTGAGTGCAGCTCTCAGTCGTTCTGGTGTTGCTTTCAGATCTGTTTCTCCTGTAGATCAGCTTTCTCATTTAATATCATCCCTGCTGAGTCAGCACACATGAGAAAGCAATAAGTTTATCCAGTCCATTATTGAATAAGATTTGGCACTGGTACCACAGCTAGCTTCTCTCAATGACCAGGATTCAAGGAGCTGCTAACTCTGATTGATTAGTGTTAACATTGATGTAGCTAGCTAGCCTAGCAAAAATGTCATATAACTGTGTTATAGGTGTTATAACAACACAGTGTAAATGTAATTCAATGCTGCTCATGTGAGTACAAAGACACACCTGAGCAGCAGGTATGCTAGTATGCTTTTCTTACCTCACTGTGTGGCGGCAGGCGCGAGCAGTGAAAACAAGGAATGGAGGTTAACTTATATGGACTTATCTGGATTTAAAGAAGCAGCAGTGTGAAAGTGACAGCTGTAGAAGGGAGTTTAATTTATTAGTGCATTCCTTAAATGGAATGGATTTGATTGACAATGCTTTAAAAGGTGAACAAACAGATGGGCTAAATTACAGACAGTAAAGCAAGTGGGTCCAATATCATTGGTCTTAAAAAGTGGGTGGGTCTTACTACACACCCGTCCCGATTTCAATTATGAAGCAGAGGAAGTAACCAGAAGGTTTATTTTAAGCTAATAAATACAAATTATATATTTCTATAGCATTTATTGATATTCTTGCTTCTCTTTATTGAGTATATGTCTGCACTTAAAAAAAAATCTAAATCTAATAATTATTCTTCTCATTATTATTTGGGGGGGGGGGCATAGGAACATGTTATGATGGCTTGACCTCCATGGTCATGAAGTTGTTCTGTCAATCAAAGTTATCCATCACCTGATCCCACTGGTGATCAACCATTTCTCAGTTATTCATGGCTGCATGGATCCATTCATCTGTTTGTGTGGTAGTTATTAGTATGTGTGTAATAATGTACATAATGTAATGTTTGTGTGTTTCCTTTGGGGTAACAGCACACTTTCTGTCCTCCTTCTTGGCTTGAATCAGATCCAGTTCTTTAGTCTTCACTCTGAGCTCTTTAAATCCTCACTTCATTAATATAATGAAACCAACAGTGTGGTAACAAAGGCCTGGGGGGTCAGCATGTGTCAGAGGTCTCTCTCCTCCTAAAGCTTTTAGTATCTGATAGAGAATTAAAGGAAACTCTGCCTACTGACGCCTTTAATGCTCGTCGCTCTCTTCAGGGACGCAGATCAGCATTTCTGTCTTTATTAGAGAACTGTAGAATATGAGGGGCCTCACTGAAGAGCTGCTGAAGAAACCTGAGGCTCAGCTGAAGAAGCAGAAAAGGAGAAAAATGTCTTTCAATAGATCAAAACCATCTATTTGGTTTTATTAAGTAAAAGCACAAAGCAGAAGCTCCTACAAAGTAAAACTTATTCTTATCTTACTGTTCCTACGTCCAGACAGCTGAACCTGGTTAATGACCAGCAAACTTAACTACATCTATAATAATAAACATAGTAAAACTGATTAACAGGTTGATACAAAGTCAAACACAACAGAGCAAACAGGAAGGTGAAGTTCTCTTTTTTTCTTCAGGTCAACATTAAACAGCTGGTTTCACAGACAGGAGTTTCTGCAACAGGAAGCTCTCCTCAGTGCTCAGAGCAGAGTTCCATCTTTTCAGTCTCTGAATCTCTCCGTCCTTCAGACCTGGTCCTTTCAGGGTAGTTTAGTTTAAGGAGCATCAGGAGAACTCATTCTTGGCCTCCCCACCATCCTCCTAATGTCAACATTTATTTACAGCATCAGATTAACTTCAACAGAACTCTGAAGGCTGAACACAGAAATATAAAACTATAATATTAAAAAGGTCAGTATGAATCAGAAAAGCAAAGAAGCTGCAGCTGCGTCCCTGATAAACAGTTCAGTTACAGATTAAAGCTCAGCAGAATTTCTCAACACTTTGTTGTGTAAACCATCAAAGTCTGCCAGCATTTATGGGTCGCTTGATGGACCTGGCTCCTCCTTCGACAGAAGTTTGTCCCCCTGTTAGAAAAACAGAACGTCAGTCAGAGTCTCACCTGGAACAGATCACAGAATAAGTACAGAGGTAATATTTGGTGTGAATGTTTTAATCCTGTCTCTCCTCATAATGACACACCAAGCTGAGCTCAGAGAGATCAGGGAGGGAGGACTTCCACCATGACCTAACAACAGCACCATGACCAACAAAGAACAGACAAGAACAGCTGCAGGGCGACAACATGAGAGGAGGACGTTACAGATAGATCATGTTGATCATGTTGATCATTAGCAACGAGGATTATTGATTGATCCACAGTAAGATCAAGAAGTGAAGGCTGTCTCTTTGTCCCTCCTCTCCAGCTGTTCCCCAGGACCCTTCCTTTTAATTTTACATCCATTTCATATTTATCATTGCTAAGTTGACCGTGGGGCCCTGCACAGCGAAAAACGTAAACTAAAGGGACACCAAGGGGTCTTCACCAAGCGTCCACATGTGACGAGTCGGGAGTGAGAATGTTTTGCCCTCAGACTTTTTTACCTGCTCAGCTGTTCTCACTTTCCTCATCAGTCACTCTCTATAAACCAGCCCAGATCATTTATTCCTTGGTCAGTTTGTCCTAGTTGATGAGTTTCTGTCTTGAATGTTGGCTCACATCATTTTAAAGTAGGACCAGTTCTACTGCAACATCAAAAGTCCCCCACAGTTTACCATGTATTGATTATTTTGACAGATATGTGTGGATGTATTTACCTCATCCATTTCGATGCTTTCCACCTGCAAAGACAATACAATCAAAATGAAAAGGATTGAAGCCCAAATGTGGACAATACTGCTGTTCTTATCCATTCTTTCTTTAGTTTTTCTTCTGTCTCACTCTTTCCCCTGTGTTCTGTTGCTGCCCACCATGTAACAAATAGTTTTCTATTAAAGTGATCTCTAAATAAAACTACTTCCCTTTCTCAGTTTGAGCTGCTCTTCTAAACTTGTAGGAAACTGTGTTGATAAAGATAATGATGGTCAGCTGATATTATGGTGAGCAAGCTGATTAGCTGACTGGTTAGCTCAGAAACAAACCTGTGTTATCATGGCTTCTCTTGCTGCTTTAAAGGCTGCTTTACCGGCTGCTTTACCGGCTGCTTTAAAGGCTGCTTTACCGGCTGCTTTAAAGGCTGCTTTACCGGCTGCTTTACCGGCTGCTTTAAAGGCTGCTTTACCGGCTGCTTTACCGGCTGCTTTAAAGGCTGCTTTACCGGCTGCTTTAAAGGCTGCTTTACCGGCTGCTTTACCGGCTGCTTTAAAGGCTGCTTTACCGGCTGCTTTACCGGCTGCTTTAAAGGCTGCTTTACCGGCTGCTTTAAAGGCTGCTTTACCGGCTGCTTTACCGGCTGCTTTAAAGGCTGCTTTACCGGCTGCTTTACCGGATGCTTTAAAGGCTGCTTTACCGGCTGCTTTACCGGATGCTTTAAAGGCTGCTTTACCGGCTGCTTTACCGGCTGCTTCTCCGGCTGCTGTTCCGGCTGCTTCTCCGGCTGCTTCTCCGGCTGCTGTTCCGGCTGCTTCTCCGGCTGCTTCTCCGGCTGCTTTACCGGCTGCTTCTCCGGCTGCTGTTCCGGCTGCTTCTCCGGCTGCTTTACCGGCTGCTTCTCCGGCTGCTGTTCCGGCTGCTTCTCCGGCTGCTTCTCCGGCTGCTTCTCCGGCTGCTGCTCCGGCTGCTTCTCCGGCTGCTGCTCCGGCTGCTTCTCCGGCTGCTGCTCCGGCTGCTTCTCCGGCTGCTCTCCTGTCTGGACCAAAGTTGTGAAGTGATAAAGTATCAAAAATCCAGATGAAAATTGTAAAAGCACAGGGAGTGAATTTAACAGAATAAACAATGTATCCTTCCTGCAGTAGGTGTCAATGAAATTGACTTGAAGCATGATGTCAGCCAACAACTTTCTGACTTCCAACTTCTAACTACCACACTGCTAAAGTCTTGGAATATTAAATATCTGGGATGGCTAAACTACACACCTCTACTTAAATCACTAGAGGATGGCCCAGTTTCCCCATCACTCTACATGCTGAAGGAACCTAAGTGACATTAGTATAGAGGTTGACACTAAGCAGGAGGCTTCCGTTCTGAGATGTGAATCCAATGCAGAAGTCCCTGAAACCTGCCTGGAAGTCTACTGAACAGCCAGCAGGGGGCGACTCTTCTGGTTGCAAAAAGAAGTCCGTCTCCATCAGAAATTATGGCAAAATGACCCTCCGTTGCAACACGTCTTGTCTCTGCAAATAGTTGTATAATCTTTCTCTATGCTTTTATTATTCTTATATAACTTGCATTGTCTAATCCATATTCCACGTATGTGTAGAACACTACTTGGCAATAAAGCTCTTTCTGATTCTGATTCTGATTTAACGTTACTAACATCAGCTCCTCCGTGGTCAACTACAAAGATGTAGAGTACTCTGGAGCCTCCAAAGGCTCACAAGAGGATTCTTTTTTTAGGTCTACTTTTGCGTCCCCTCACAATACTTTTCTTCTTTCATTACTTCTAAGCTAGCTGTGTATGCTCAGCTGGTTTCAGCGGCTACATAGTAATTTAGGTTTCTTCTGGAATAGTCTCTTACATAAAAATAAAAAAAATCCCCCTCTCATCCCTCTACCAGAGGCCTGGGAGTTTGAGGGTTCTGCGCAGTATCTCAGCTGTTCCTAGGACTGCACTCTTCTGGACAGAGATCTCTGATGTTTTACCTGGAATCTGCTGTAGCAACTCTCCCAGTTTTGGTTAGCCATCACCAGTTTGTCAGTCTGGATCTTGAAGTCCCACAGGATCTTAACTCGGTCATTCTCAACTACCTTAGGAGGTGTCTTCCATTTTGACCCTGGGACTTCCAGCCCATACTCATGGCAGATGTTCCTCCATGTACGCACTTCCTGCCTGCATGTTCTTGTGCCGCCATGATTAGTGCTTCTGTGCTGTCCTTCAGTCCAGCCTTTTCCAGCCACTGGTAGGATTTCTTGATATCAGCCACTTCTTCTATTTGTCTGTGGTACATGCCGTGCAGCGGCTTGTCCCTCCATGAAGGTTCTTCATCTTCCTTGTCCTCATCCTCAGGTTTCTGCTGCCTGAGGTATTCACTAAGCCCTTCATCTTTGGGGGCCATCTTCCTGATGTACTCCTGGATCTTCGTCGTTTCATCCTGGACAGTGGTCTTGACACTCACTAGTCCTCTGCCTCCCTCGCTACACTTGGTGTACAGTCTCAGGGTGCTGGATTTGGGGTGAAACCTCCATGCATTGTGAGGAGCTTTCATGTCTTGATGTCAGTAGCCTCTATCTCCTCCTTTGGCCTGTCTACTATACCAGTGGGGTATCTGATGGTATCCTTGCTGCCTCCTCATGGTTTCCATTACCCCAAGGTTTTTGTAGCTGTCTTGAACATCAGTTCTATCCCCTCGGTTCTGATCATCTTCCCTCTTTTTGATACCATGCGACCATACTTGTTCAGTCTGAACGACATTCCAATGTCGTAGCTGTAGATCCTGGTAGAGTGGATCAGTGAGTCGACGTCTCGCTCATTTCTTGCATACAGCTTGATGTCATCCATGTAGAGGAGGTGACTGATGGTTGTTCCACTTCGGAAGCCAGTCTTTGTGATGATCTGGCTGAGGGGGTTCAGGCCTATGCAGAACAGCTGCGGGGATAGTGCATCACCTTGGTATATGCCGCACTTGATGGTGACTTGTGCAATTGGCTTTGAGTTGGCTTCCAGACTTGTTTTCCACAGCCCCATTGAGTTCTTGATGAAGGCTATTAGTGTCCTGTTGATCTTGTACATTTCCAAGCATTCCAGTATCCATGTATGTGGCATTGAGTCGTGGGCTTTCTTGTAGTCAATCCAGGTGGTGCACAGGTTGGTCTGCCTGGTCTTGCAGTCTCCAGTGACTGCCCTATCAAACCAGTAGCTGGTGCTTGGCTCCCCTGGTATTACTTCCCATTCCCTTCTGGGCCCTGTCCATGTATTGAGCCATGTGCCTACTCATCTTATATAATTATATAATATAGTATAGTATGTAGTTATAATAACATAGTGGACTCATGGAAAAATAATCGGTTATCATAACCTTTTTTCATGATTAATTTATTAATGACTCAGCATAATCTGTATTAAAGACAAAATAATCAGTCTGAAAGTCTGATATGTAGGAAACAGTGTCCCTCCACTTTGACTGTTTAAGCAACAAGCATCACCGATGTAAACAGGGAGCAGCCTCCCCTCATCTCGCTGGAGCCTTGCGCTCTAACAGAATACTGCATGCTCCAGGACATTCAATTTCCCGGTGTTTGGCAGCATGGCAAGTATGTAGTCCCATTTCCTCAAGACTGGACATTTACCAGGAGCAGCCTTAAGTCTAAGCTAGGCCAGCATTGCTCTATCCCGGCTCTCTTTCCTCTCCTCCGGAATGATCACAGCACCCGTAGTATACATATATATGACTATTGAGCAGTAGTACTAGGCTATATCAATATAGGAAATGCTCGGTTCAAAGTAAAATTCAATAAGTTGATCCATAGGCTACTGGAGTGTTGTGCTGAGAGCAGTTGAGCATACACAGCTAGCTCAGAAGTAACGGATGAAGAAAAGTATTGCGAGGTAATGCGAAAGTAGTCCTTAAAAAAATAATTCCTCCTTAGAGCCTTCCCAGCCACCTTACTGTACTGTAACCTGACAACTCAATGCTGATCTAATCCTCTGTTAACTTTCACTGTCACTTTCTGCTGCTCTCTCTTACATTCGCTCGTCCTTTGAAGAATGAGGAGAGAGAGACAGCCATGCGTTGAGTGTTACCGTGCCGAAAATCATTAACGATCATGTGAAATTTTAGTAGCAGCGCTCATTCATTAAGTAGCGACATCACATTGCTAGCAACTGGTTTAAAGAGACCAAGACGCTGTTTTTTTCAGGCAAGAGTCCTGAAGGTTGCACTTTAACACAGCTGAAGAATAAATCCATTATATATCTGTAGTACAATATGAAACAGAGACTCACGGCAATAACATGACAGCTGCATGTTGGTACATAGGATTAGGCAAACTGGCCGTCAGAGGTGACAGAAAAATCCAGCAAGTTTTATGTGTGGTAACCACCCTTTCAAACACAGGCCATAACAAAGTGATTCATATCATTAAAGCCTTTCAACAAAAGATAAACTAAGGAAATACATGTTTAAACCATCCTGCCATCATTTTTAATATAACATAAATGGGGGTCACATTGTGGTCCCCTTCTTTCACGTTATGTCCTACACCCTTCAGTTTTAAAAATCGTACAGCACCCTGTACATCCTGTTGACACAAAACCTTTTAATCAGGAAGACAGACACACAGAACCACACACGACGTTCAGGACACCACATGCACAAAATCTAATCTTCTTACAGATTGGGTAGCAGAACTTTGTAGGAAACAGCTGATACATAAACACAATCCGACCTTCTGTCTACTAGAATCTAAACACCACCTGCTCACAACTTCTTATTACCTTCAGACAAACTGAATGAAAATATTATTTTTGATTCTTTACCTGGTTCTCTGTTCGTTGCTCCCCAGCAGATGTTTTAATCAGTACTTCAGCAACATTGTTCCATCGTCCACTTCGTATTTCCTCCTTGACTTTATTCATCTCTTCTTTTGCTACTTCCTTCAGAATCTCTTTCAGTGCGTTTTCCTTCTCCACCAACAATCGTTTTTCATTCTTAAAGTATTTTTCAGAGTCTTCACAGCATTTACTCCATCTATACAGTGGCATAATGGATGCCACAAAAATTATACAAAGCAGTAGAGAGCCACCAATAGCCTGAAATAGAAAAAAGTTGGTTATATTATAACAGCAGTTCTGTGTTCTTGCTGTCATTTCATTAAGACACTGCAAGCTGATCAAAACAAGAGCACAGTGAAATAAAAAGTAAAACACTGACATGCTGGAAACACTCACCCTGGACTTGCTTTTCAGTTCAGCGACGGAGACTCGCTCCCCTTCAGTGAGATTATTCTCCTTGGCTTTGCAGGCTAAGTCTATCTGTTCAGTGCTATAATTCTTACAGCAAACATACCAGTCTGCTTCAATTAACACAAAAGCAACCCAAAGCACACCGACTAAAGCTGCTTTAACAATCTTACGCAAGGAATAACCCAAAAAACTGCCACAGCATCCGAATGCACCTGAACGCTGGTATCTACAGACTCTCTGAAATGACCTGTCTGTCCAGAGTATTAACAGAAATATAAAAACAACAGGCAGACCTATGTATAAATTGCAGTCATTTACTTGTGGTTTGCAAGTACACGGAAAATCCCTGTCAAGCAAAATACTGTAGGTAAACATCAGAATGATTACAGCGTAGGTGCTGAGCTTCCCAGAAACTAGTTTAGTCAGTAAGGACTGCATCTCTGATGTAGAGCTGGAAACAGCTGCAGCTTCTACCCTCTGAACATGCACCGACAGGAAACATTGATTTCCTGGTTGTTGTTTTTTAAATAAATCTGTTGGGGGTGTTGCAGATGAACGGGAAGTGAGTCATCTGTCCAGATGACTGCCATCCCATCTCAGATCTGAGAGAAGAATAATAGAAATAAATATTTTATATATGTGTGTGTGTATACACCAGTCAGCCATAACATTATGACCACCTGCTGGTCATAATCATAATAGTCAGTACAGGGTCATGGATGGCCAAGGCTCAGTGGTGCACATGGGGAGCAAAGGCAGGCCTGTGTGGTCTGATCCAACTGACGAGCTACTGAAGGTCAAACTGCTGGGAATTCAGGTTTAATGGCACGTCAGCACTGGCTTCACTTTTCAGAACCAGAGGTTGCAGCTTTGCTTGTCTTTCTTTACAAAAGGACCATACTTATAGGTTTCAGAAATATTTAAAGGATCTAAAATTTACCAGAAATCTCCCAGACTTATTTGTCCTAATAGATCAAGAAATGCTCACCACTTACCAACAGCTCAGCGTCAGATCTTATTTAGGCTAAAGTCACCCCTGTGAGTCTAGACGTGGTCAGACAACAAATCATTTGAAGCACACTGAGGCCCTTAGACCTGGACCTAGTAATTCTTCTATTGTGGTAACACACACAACATTTGACTGTAAACACATTATTGACCTCCTCTTTCACCAAGTTTTTGTTTTGTAGTAGTATTTCACAGTGAGAATGAATGCACAGATCAACTTCCAGAGGTTTTGTCTTTTTTGGGTTCATTTTCAAACTGTGATGGTGCAGTGGATAAGACACATGCCTTTGGTGTGAGAGACCTGGGTTCGAATCCACTGAGACACCATTGTGTCCCTGAGCAAGACACTTAACCCCTCGTAGCTCCAGAGGCGTGCGACCTCTGACATGTATAGCAATTGTAAGTCGCTTTGGATAAAAGTGTCAGTAAATGAATAAAGGTAAACTGCAGAAGTAGATGCATGTGAAGATGGCATGAAGTACGGTGCTTCAGTGACAGGAAACATGTAAATTGCTGATGTGAGATTTAAATATAGCAAAAGAAGGAAGTTATGGGACCTTGTAGAGGTTTTGCATTTGAACTTGCAGGGGCCAGCGCCTCCAACTCTACAGCGCACACTGAGTGCTAAGCTTTTTATTTTGTTGCCTGTTGGTTTGATCCGACCACACCAAACATCTGCAGCTTTAGGTTTCAACTTTAAAATGATTAGTTATCTTGGTCTGTTGAAATCCTTCATCTTCTTTACCTGATAGATTTTGAATTAAGTGACATTAGTTTGTAAAAATCCCTTTTTACTTTGATATTAAAGAGGGTTTTTGTTTTTTTGACCATGATTTCATGTCTAAAACAAACTAAAGAGTGGAACATCCGGGGGGGGTGAATACTTTTTATAGGCATTGTATTTACACTGCATTGCAGGCTTTATTGTGCAAATAAACTCTTCTCATAGCATTTTTATTTGTTAACATTTCTTGGTGCAAGCAATGTTTTCAGAACATTTTTAACAAATGCTCTCAAAAAGTGGTGGCTACATGACTCCTATGACGCTGCTCCCTCCTTACAGGTTGAGCTACTCCATCCTTACCAACCGCCTCACCTCCTCTCTCCCCCTGCTCTCTCTCTCCCTCGGCCCCGTCACTTTGTCCCTCTGTTTGGCTGTCTCAGCCTCCTCCTCTGCCTGGCAGGGGCCACGGCTCTCCTTTCCTCAGTGTCAAAGTGTCTGTGCCTGCACCACGCAGGGTACTGCAGCTGATGTTGAAGCTACTGCAGCCAGGGTAGCAAACATATCGGTTATTTTTCTGTATTTGGCAGCTTCCGTGTGAAGATTTTTAATTGATTTTTTGTATCCACAACCCAAGAAACAGAGCAGAGGGGGTGGGCGCTAGTAAGAGATGCGATTGGGCCAGCCCAGTGTCAGTATAGAAGATTACCCAATGGGCCGCCGACCATGCTTTAAGGGCCGGTTGTAGTTTTTAAAAACAGTTCTATCAATAAACAATTGACGTTACATCGGCCCCAAAGGTTTGTCGGCCCACTGGTATGATTCTCAGTCCACCCCTGATGATGCTTCTTACTGGCACAGCATCAACTTCAGGCAGGACTTGGTCTGTGAAGGAAAACACTGCTACATCAATAAAACACAATGAAGAAATCACCTGCAATGCTACAGGGACTAGTAGAGTCACAGGCCACAGACCCCGACGCAGGTATAAATGCATGGCTACGTGTGTAGCTTATGCCGCAGGTTATGGCGTAGACTCGCCGCAGAAGAATCGACATTCGGCACAATTGTACAAGAATGGTAGTATTCATTCGTAGCAGAGATGTGTGTATTGCTTGCATAAGAATGTGATTAATCAAACTCAAATATTTTTTGATTTAGTCAAAACCAAACTGTGTTAGGGTGTGCCCCGCTCTCCCCTCCCCCTAAAGTGATACTGATACCAGTAGAGTACTTCATTCAGTACCTTGTGTGAAAGGCCACCTGTTGAACACTAGTTGATTGGTAGCCTAAAATTTTTATTGTTGTCATGGACAGGCATGTTTCTTCTACTTTTTCAAACCCGCCTAACTGTTGTATAAAATGATTGGGAAATTGTATCAGATCATCCTCATCCTAAATAGGTCATCCTCAGGAGTTTTACTGGATTTGAATGAGAGAGTTGAAAGTCAACCACGGAAAATTATTTTGTAAAGTTATCAGCTCTGCTAAAATGAATTACTTCCTGGTTGCAAAAACTCAACATGGCGGCGCTCTGTTGACCAAACTCGAGGCTTCAAAACAGCAGTGGTCAAACCAACAGGTGACATCACGATGACTACGTCCACTTCTTACATACAGTCTATGGTCACAAGTACAAAACGAGTAAGGAGTTTGTTTAAACAAGTCACTAAACTACACTAAAGACTCACAAACAGAGGAAAAGAGAGGCTGCGCGTCCAGCAGATAAAATAAAAATGTACAGAGAAGTGTTAAATGATACCAGGAGATGAAACCAACTGAAACCCGAGCTTGTGGTGATAAACTGGCAACAGTGACGAACATGCCTGAGACCGCAGCCGAAGGTGAGCGGCTGTTAAAATCACGCATGGACTCGGCGCGTGCAGGCCTGTTTTATGCAGTTCATGGTGCAGGGACATGAGGAAGAAAAGGTGTGCTCTTCTCTGTCTTTTGCACATTAAGAAAACATGCAATGCAATTACAGTATAGAAGAAACAAATGTGCATTGTCCAAAAAAAGTAACTTAAGCTGAAAAAACAAGCTACTGATTGAAAAATAACTCAACAACCAGCAGCACCAGTCAGTAACTTTAATAACTTGTTGACACAGTTTTGTGTTCTCTCCCTGTGAACGTGACCAAAGAGGAGGGAAGACTAAATCCTGCCTCAGCAGGGACGATGTTACAGGAGAAAAGTTGATCTGCAGGAGAAACTGATCTGAGAGCTGCACTCACTTAGATTCTGTTATATTTATATATTTTGAAATGTCACCTGCTGCCTGAATTTTGTTTCCTTTTACATAAATAAAAACATGGGCTGGAAGGAGAGGACTCGGCTGGTTACATAGTTGAGGACTTGGATGGCGGTTTGGAAGGAGAGGACTTGGCTGGTGGTTTGGAAGGAGACGACTCGGCTGGCGGTTTGGAAGGAGAGGACTCGGCTGGCGGTTTGGAAGGAGAGGACTTGGCTGGTGGTTTGGAAGGAGACGACTCGGCTGGCGGTTTGGAAGTAGAGGACTTGGCTGGTAGTTTGGAAGGAGAGGACTCGGCTGGCGGTTTGGAAGGAGAGGACTTGGCTGGTAGTTTGGAAGGAGACGACTCGGCTGGCGGTTTGGAAGGAGAGGACTTGGCTGGTAGTTTGGAAGGAGACGACTCGGCTGGTAGTTTGGAAGTAGAGGACTTGGCTGGTAGTTTGGAAGGAGAGGACTTGGCTGGTAGTTTGGAAGGAGAGGACTTGGCTGGTAGTTTGGAAGGAGAGGACTTGGCTGGTAGTTTGGAAGGAGAGGACTTAGCTGGTAGTTTGGAAGGAGAGGACTCGGCTGGTTACATAGTTGAGGACTCGGATGGCAGTTTGGAAGGAGAGGACTTGGATGGCGGTTTGGAAGTAGAGGACTTGGCTGGTAGTTTGGAAGGAGACGACTCGGCTGGTAGTTTGGAAGTAGAGGACTTGGCTGGTAGTTTGGAAGGAGAGGACTTGGCTGGTAGTTTGGAAGGAGAGGACTTGGCTGGTAGTTTGGAAGGAGAGGACTTAGCTGGTAGTTTGGAAGGAGAGGACTCGGATGGCAGTTTGGAAGTAGAGGACTCGGCTGGTTACATAGTTGAGGACTCGGATGGCAGTTTGGAAGGAGAGGACTTGGATGGCGGTTTGGAAGTAGAGGACTTGGCTGGTAGTTTGGAAGGAGAGGACTCGGCTGGTTACATAGTTGAGGACTCGGGTGGCGGTTTGGAAGGAGAGGACTTGGATGGCGGTTTGGAAGTAGAGGTCCTTTCTTCTACTAGTCCTCCAGCAACATTAAAACATCTTTCCCATGTTTCATTATTCACACAGGAGTTAAGTTCTTCTGTCATCTTGTGTTTTGCAGCTGTTCTCAACGTATCTGTCACCAGGTGTTCTCCTTCTTCCAAAATGATCTCATTAATTGAATCATAATGTTTGCACCATTCGCTCCATGGCAATGATGATATAAAGGCAGCTACAAATGTAATGCTGAGGAGAAGAGGCAAGCCGATAAGCTGAAAAACAAACAACAAAGAGCAGCTTGTATTATTACTATGTAGGCACTTTCTAAAGGTTAATAAAGGTTTAATGAAAAGGAGTGCCCCATTGTTCTTTTCATTTTTAAAAATTAATCTTGTTGATTTCTTGATGCTAATGCATTATATATATATATTTTTTAATCACTATAACTGTGGCGTCTGTTTCAGAGAAATGTTTAGTGAAAAGCCCCAGTGCTGTTTTCAAGCTCTAGGCGGTTTGGAAGATGCAGCACTAGGCGACAGAGGCAAGGAAAAACTTCCTTTTAAGAGGCAGAAACCTCGAGCAGAACCATGGCTCAGGTTGGGCGGCCATCT